AGCTAAAGTCTGAGAATTGCTGATTTTAGAATGTTTATATAAAAGTTGTCTTCATTTCCGTCAGCTTAAGATATGCTGAGCAAGCTCGGCCCTTTTGATTTTCTGACTCCAGTTCTTTGCACATTTCATTATAATATTTTGCTTTGTCTTCCTGAGCTGCCCTTTGATGTCTTCTGTTCAGCTCCTTAATTTCTTCCCTTCGCTTTGGCTTCTCAGCACTCTAGTGCAATATTCAGAGTCTTGTCTGACATCTCTCTTGGTCTTTTCTTCCTTCTCTGCCTTTGTATTGATCTTTAGCATTCTTCATGGACGATATTCTTGCTATTTTCCCATAGCTCATTTGGTCTTTGCTCATTGGTGTTCAAGGCCTTGAACCTGTTCTGGAGATGGTTTTGAAATTCAAGTGGGAGAAACTTAAGGTCAAATTTTTGTTCCTGTGGATTTAATTTTCTTCAATTTCAGCTTGAACTTGCATATGAGTAGTTGGAAGACCAGAAGGCAGTGATCAGAACAGAGCAGGGAGACACTACATGCTTCAAAATTGGGAAGGGTGTACGCCAGGGATGTATTCTGTCTCCTTACCTTTTCAATCTATATGCAGAACAGATCATCTGGGAAGCTGAGCTGTATCAGGAGAAATATGGCATCAAGATTGGAGGAAGACTTACCAACAACCTGTGTTATGTAGATGACACAACTGTTTGTTAAAACTGAGGAGGACCTGAAGCACTTGCTGCAAAATGTGAAGGACTGTAGCCTTCAGTATGGATTGAAGTTCAATATCCAGAAAACAAAGATTCTCACTACTGGACTGATTGGAAGCATCATGCTAGATGGTGAAGACATTGAGATTGTTAACCGCTTCAGCTTGCTTGGCTCCATAATGAACATTCTTGGTACCAGGAAATAAAAAAGATGAATTGCATTGGGAAAGTTGGCTGTCAGGGACCTCTCCACAGTACTGAAGAGCAACAAAATCAGTCTGGAGAATAAGGTGCGCCTGATACAGACAATAGTCTTTTTAATTGCTTGCTATGCCTCAGAGAGCTGGACAATGACTATGGATGACAGAAGGAGAATTGACGCCTTTGAGCTGTGGTGCTGGAGAAGAGTACTGAATATACCATGGACTGCCAGGAGAACAAACAGGTTTATCTTAGAGAGGGTGAGACCAGGATGCTTCTTGAAGGCAAGGATTCTGAGGCTTCATCTGACATTGGGCATCTTACAAGGAGGGACCAGTCTTTGGAGAAGGGCATCATGCTTGGAAGGATGGAGGGACTGAGAAAGAGAGGAAGATCATCGATGAGATCGATTGATTCAGTGACTGGAGAAATGAGGGTAGGTAGGTGTGTCAGAAACAGTAAAGTTGGCACAGGATAGAGCAGGCTTCAGGGCTATTGTTCATAGAGTCACTATGAGTTGCAAGAGACTCAATGGCACATAACAACAACAATGTAAGAGTCTGATTTCTTTCTCTCTTTTATAAAGCAATGTTGTGGAAAAGTTAAATTTGTTCTTTTTCTCAATAGCACTAAACAGAAAATGAGCTGTTAGTCAAACTTTTCTCAAGCACAAGTTAATCACATTAGAAATGTTATACCCTTCTCATTCATAATGGTGGAAGGTAGAAAAGTAACCTCTCTCCAGTGTACGGTGCTTTGATGAATGAAAACTGATATAGATGCTAAGATGAAATATGTATGCAAACAAGTCTTACAGCTTAATTGTTCTAAGGAGGGTAGAAAATATCCATGAAAATTATATCTTCACATCATTAATCTAGGAGAGGAGTGAGTTGATATAAAACCAAAATCTGCTACTCTCTCGTTAATTCTGATGCAGGACAACCCTCTTTTGAGTTTCTGAAGCTGTAGACATCATTACAAGAGGAGACTGTCCCATCTTTTACCTATGGGGCAGCTGATGGATTTGAACTGCTGACCTTTCGTGTAGCAGTAGAATATATAACACACTATGGAGTAGGAAAAAGGTTTTTTTTTAAATAAATATTTTTCAGAGAAGTTTGTGTTTGATAGTAATAAACTGCTTTATAATGTATTAAGAGGGAGCACTGATAGCCTATTGGGTGAAAGTTGTGCTGCCAATCGAAAGGCATGCAGTTCAGAGCCACCAGCTGTTCTGTGGAGAAAGATGAACAATTTCCTCCTGTGTGATTTATGGTCTCTGAAAATCTGTCGGAGACAGTTCTGGGTCAGTTCTTACTTGAAAGTACATAACAACAATATATTAATAGCAGTATTTGTGCATTTACTGACTCTGCAAACCAGTTCTTTAAAACTTTATTGTTTTTACTGCCTTGAGTTCCATCCTTCCTTGACACAGTATTAGGGTAATACATGGGGGTATATTACCACACCAAACCATGACTAAGTTGCCAATATTTATGGATATTGAAAAATGCTCCACTAAATGATTTAAAACAGAACTAGAAAGCATAGTCATTACTTAAAACAAATTAGTCTGGCCAGAGAGATAGGACCCTGAAACATTTGCTATTCAATAAAAGAAAAGAAAAATAAAAAAGGTTGGAAAGTGAAGAGGCAGGATATAAATTGCAAATAGAGCAGTACAAGTTAGGGGGGTCTTCATGATGAGTGGTTAGTATTTAAGAAAAGAGAGGTTACATGGGGAGATATACCTCTACAGATGCATAATACCTGTAGAGACTGTTTGCAAAACTGGTTCCAATTATTCACCTGCCCTTTGATCAGGTTTTTCTCAGTTCTTCACACTGAGAGAGTCTAATCCTCTATCCCTGAAATCTGAGTTGCTCTGATAATAAAGACAAAGAAGTTGAGTTCTGAGCCTTGTGTGACACTTGGAAAAGGGCTATTTGCATTGAGTCAACTTAAGCTAAACATCATCATAAATGGAGAAAAGACTAAGTTGTCAAAGATTTACTTTTACTTGGATTCACAATTCACTGGAATCAGCAGCCAAGAAATCAAAAGACATGTTACAATGTTCAAAGGGCTGTCACGGCATCTCCAATGTGCTAACGTGCGAGGGGGCCAGCTTTAAGACTGAGGTGTGCTTGGTCCAAGCTACGGTATTGTGTTACCTTTTTTATTGTTGTTTTAATGCAAGTATACCGAAAGGTTGGGTTTTCATTCACTCATTGTTGCACATTTTCCTCCTTCTCCCTGTCTACTCCCTTTCCCTTCCCCCAGTCCACTTTGCAAAGCATCTCTTGTTCCATACTATTGTCTTATACATAATAATCATATATTCCTTTCAGTTCTTCCTCTCAACTGTTTCAATTTAGTGTTAATCACCTCTCCATTCTTTACAATATTTTTTTCTCCATTGCCTTAACTTTCCCTGGGGGCGTGGCCTCCAGTTGTCTTAACTGCAGGCACATGGTTCACCACTGATCAGCATCTTCAACATCATCAACAGTTGTGAGGTCAGCGTAAGAGTGTTCTAACCAGACTGTAGAGAGACTGTAGTGATGCAAACGTGAAAGAGCCCTGGGGACGGAGGCTACGTTAAAGATTTTGCTTGTGGGACAATTGATGGAAGAGTTGACTTCTGACAGCTATAAGACAGAGCTTGTTGATGATTAAGGAACTGCAACCAGGCTCCTTCTTAGAGGCAAGGACAGTGAAACTTCATCTCTCATACTTTGGACAAATCTTCAGAAGCCCTTAGTCCTTGAAAAAAAAGAAGGCACCATGTTTGGGTAAGTACAGGGTCAATGAAAGAGAGGGTTGACACAGTGACTGTAATCATGGGTTTGAACATGGTAGAGATTGTGCTGGACGTTGCAGAAGAGGGCAAGATTTTTCTTTTTCATAGGGTCTTCAGGAATTGTAGTCTACTTAGCAGCACCTTCACAACTACTACTGGTGAAATTATGGCTAACATTGAAAAGAATGGAAGTCTCAGAACACTTAGTTGTGCTCATGTGAAACCTATACTGAGATCAAAAGGCTGTTGTACAATCAGAGCAAGGAAATATTGCGTTGTTTAAAATTAGGAAAAGTATGTGTCAGGGTTGTATCCTCTCTCCAGACCAATTTAATCTGTGCGCTGGGTAAATCATTCAAGAAGCTGGACTCTGAAGAAGAATTCAGTGTCAGAATTGGAGGAATACTCATCAGTAACATTCATTATGCAGATGACACAACTTTGCCTGTTGAAAGTGAGGAGGACTTGGAAGTGTTTGCTGCAAAAGAGCAAAGAAAATAGCCTTCAATATGGATTACGTCTCTACATAAAGAAAGCAAAAATTCTCACTACTGTACTTACAGGCAACATCATGTTAGATGGAGAAAAGACTGAAACTGTCAACAACTTCATCTTGTTAGGATTCACAATCAATACATTTGGTACTTGCAATCAGGAGATCAGAAGATGTATTGCATTGGCAAAGTCTGTAGGTAGGAGCCTCTCCAAATTATTGAGGAGTAATGATGTTAGTTTGAGGACTAAGATATGCCTTATTCGGGCCATGGTCTTTTCAGTCACTTGCTCTGTATGTGCACATACATATGTATGTGAGCTGTACAGTAAATAAAGATGACAGAAGAACTGATGCCTTTGAATTTTGGTATTAGAGAACTGAAGATCCCAAGGACTGCTAAAATAAAAAAACAGATATGTCTTGAAGAAGGTGCAGCCAGAGTCCTCCTTGAAGGCAAAGATGATAAAACTTTGTCTCACATACTTTGGGCATGTTGCTAGGAGAGACAGTTCCTTGGAGACAGATATCATGCTTGGAAAGGTGGAGGATTAGCAAAAAAGAGGAAGACCTTCAACCAGGTAGATTGACACAGTGACTGAAGCAATGGGTTAAAGTGTATCAGAGATTGTAAGGCTGGCACTGGATAGGACAGGGTTCAGATCTATTGTTCATAGAGTCACCATGAGTCGTACTCAACTCGATGGCACCTAACAACAACAAACCTACTGGATAAGATGATCAGAGACAAAGTGGAACAAAGTGTGTTATCTAGGTAATATTTGGACTCCCCATGCCAGGGTGCTCCTTAGAGGTAAGGATGGTGAAACTTTGTCTCACACATTTTGGCCATGATGTAAAGTGTCAGCCAAAGTCCTTGGGAAAAGGCACCATGTTGGACAAAGTAGAGGGTCACTGAAAGTCAGGAAGATCTTCAGGGAGATTGGTTGAGATATGACTGCAAGACTGAGTTTGAGCAGGGTGGAGATCATGATGATGGTGGCAAGGTTTTAATCTGTTGTGTATATGATCTTTGTGAGTTACAGTCTAATCAACAGTACCCAACAACAAAAAGGTCCAGAAGAATTCTCAGCTGAGCCCAAGCGAACTTTTCTAATGTAGAACTATGGGCTAAATTAGTGGTTCTTGTTTCAGACCAATGCAAGTTGGAATAATTTATTATTCAGTACATTGTTGTGTGCTATTGGGCATAGTTATCCCAAGAGATTGTTATATTATATTGACAGATATTATAAAGTATGGCTTAAAAAGATGAAGAGGACGGAAAAAGATTCTAAACTGGGGTTAAATCCCCCAAACTTTCAGAGACAGAAATGTGTGAGGTCTGGTCAAGGAAAAGTGGACAATAGTATTGGCTGTCTGAATCACTCTCTGTTGATAAATAGCTAGGGGCACCAGGGTTCCAAGGAACATCCACTTGAGGCCATGCCTGTCCTGTCATGCTGCTGTGCCGGGGCATTCTTCAGGAGCACTCCATCAGGACACAGGCAAGTGTTGAAACATGTTGTACACAGCAGGCCTGGCCACTCCAAGTAAGTTTTGAGAAAATGAGAGATTCTCTTTCTAGTCACCTACCTTATTCTCAGGTTAAAAAAAAAAAAGTTATTTATATAATGTAGTTCTCATAAAACTGCTAGAAGGAACGTGTAGAATCCCAGCATGCCAAAACATCAATGCAGTGTACATGTTTTGAATCTTAATATTCGTAATGTGGACTTATTTGCACAATGAACAACGTTTGCTCAGGTTTATCCGGGTCATTGCTGCTGTTGTTGTGTACTTTCGAGTGGGAGCCATCCATATCTGAGCCTCTGGCCAGTTTCCAGAGGCAGTTAATCACATGGGAGATTGCCTATCCTTCTCTCAAAGAGCAACTGGAGGATTCAGGAAGGCAGTGCAGCTTCTTGCCACACAATCCCCCCACACACACCCCGAGTCCAAAAGAGCATATAAGAAAATATAAATATTTAAATTTTAAAATGTGTTATTTCTTTTAAGTAGACCTTGCTTCAAAAGAAAGTCCCTGAGGTTCTTGCTTTAGAAGCAGCACCTTAAGCTTGGGTAGGGGCTGGGGAAGAAATTTAAGTGAAACCTGTTTAACCTTGAAGCCTTCTTGTCTGGGATACTTTATCCAGTGGCCACAGAAGCTTTTTTCATGTTACTGCATTTTTTTTAAAATGATCTTGATTAGTTGATTAAGTGCTATAAACTTTATACAAAAAGGCCTCATTGAGCAACTATTTTATTCAAGCTGCCCCAATCGGTAGTACATCGCGTGTAACAAATCGTGGTGAACTAGAAATTTCAGTAGAAGATAGCGGTGATGCAGACTGAAGCAATTCATTACACAAGAACAGAGCAAAAGAGGCGTCATACCTGAAGCATACACGGCGTGTGCGTGTCTGAAGGGCGGGCAGAGTATCACAAAGTTATTTTAATTGCTGCTAATCTCCTGTGAACATGTTGCTCCTTTCTGACTCTCAAGTAACCGGTTCACAGTAAACTTTTTGAAAGGAGGACGGGACTCATCTCCTGTGTTGCGCTCTGCCTTCTCAGCCTGCCACCCACCTGCCTTTGGGCATCCAGCGCAGACTAACAGGTCCCCGATTACTGAAGCGTCACCTCTCACTTCCCAGTAAAATCTCCGCAGCCCACTCGGACTGCAGCCTGTTTGCAGCCGGTCCTCCCATTGCAGCAACCAGGGCGACGGAGAGAGAGGAGGCGCGCAGGGAACAGAAGACAGTGGAGGGCAAACTCTGTGGCCCTGCTCGGAGACCAGGATGGGGAGAGGCGGCTCCAGGGGAGTGCGCACCACAGGTAAACAGGCTGGAGAGGAGCGGGGCGCTGCCGCTGCCGCCTTGGCCACCCTGCGATTTCCAGGCACGCAACTCCGCCTCCAGGGCTCTCTCCCTCGCACTCTCGCCCAGCCGCTTGCTCGCAGCCTCAGCAGCCGCCGCAGCATCACTTCACACAAAGGACTGTTACCCGCTGAGCAGCTCCTCCACCTCCACGTCCTCCTCCAGTGACAGCAGCCCCGACAGCAGGGTTCTGGTGCGGCGGCGGCGCCCGGGAGAACCTGTCACTCTCAGCAACCGAGGCGGTGGCAGCAGCTTTCTTCTCTTTTGCTTTAATTTTATCCCCCCCCCCCTAATATCTCTTCTTCGCTTTTCTGTGGTTTCACCTGCCTCATCCCTTCCTCCCTCCTCCGCCTCCTCCTCGCATAAACAACTCTCCCCCACACCCCCCACCCCAAATAAATAAATAAATAAAAGGAGGAGGGTCAGGGGGGAGGAGGAGTGGCGCTGTGGGGGGGCGGCTGGAGGAAAGGGGAGGCAGCGCGAGGGAGCGAGGCAGAGTCCGAACAGACAGCCCAGAGCCCGCACGCACCTCGCACCATGAGATGGCGACGCGCCCCGCTCCGCTCCCCGGGTGCCGGC